TTGATTCGATATCAATCCTGGATTCAGAATCAGGATTCTTGAATCGAAATGGTAGAGGGTCAGCTCGAGTAGTTGGACTTTCCAGCTCGGAAAGTCTGTGCCTCATCTTTTATGAGTCGTAGGACTCACATCAGTTTCCACAGTGTGAGATCCACACTACGACTCGTCTGTCTCACTGTATCAGTCGCATTTAGAGCTTGGCTCCCACTAACACTGCTAAGTCGACAGTTGTTCTCCCTCCAGTGTGCGCTATGTGGATTTACGCCTACCTCTGCTTGCCCACCGTCGTGTCGGCTTCTTTTATGCGTCCAACCACCTCGGCCAACCATCTGGAGTTTTACAAAGAAATGACCTACCCCTGGGTTGACAAGGAGGCTCCCATATGCTCCAACCAAACACTATGCCCTCGAAACCCCAACTACACCTGGGACGATTACTTCGATTGCCTCCTCAATAAGGGCGTCAAGAATTTCGTGCTCGGCGGCCTCATGATGGTGGGGAGTGACATCTGGTTCGTCATCGAGTTCAAATCACCGAGCCGATGGAGTAAATCTGGGTTCATGGCTCTGAGGGAGAAAGTACGAGCTCGAGGTGGCAGGATACTGGGTGACGTGATCGATGCGCAATACGGGTATGGCGAGCCTTTCAACAAGACGCGCTTTCGCCAGAATGCTGCCAAGTTCGTGGAGTACTTCCCCGTCGACGGCTTCAGGATAGCGGATTTCCTCCCCTATTCTGATCAGACCCCCCAACATGTGAAGGAGGCCTTGGAGGCTATCAATGAACTGAAGTTGATTTCTTCGATCCGGTGAGTCTTACGGTGCATATAAAACTACCAGTAGACTCTCGCGTGTGTAGTGGACCGATTGGAACCACCAGCCACCGTTGGGTTGTCAGGTTGACGCCTGAGAAGTTAGATGTGTTCGCGAAGGCCAAATTGGGAGGGATCGCCCATACCACCTTCGTTTCATTATGGCCACGATATGATGACAAAAACGATACGGCCGCGT